TAGTGTGATATTTTCTTTTGGAATTGATCTAGTTAATAATCCAATGGATGGTACTCCTGCCCCTTTAATTTATTTTGTTTGGCCTCCTTTCGCTTTTTATCGTGCTTTATCAAGCAATAATCATTTAAGTTCTCTTAATAATCTAATACCAATGAAATTAAGTGATTTTAAACCTGGAAAAGAAATTTTTAATGCTGTTATTGCTTTAATTATTGAATATTGTATTTTGATGCTTTTAACGGCTTATTTTTATCTGGTAAATATATTTATTACGTTATTATTTTTACGTTATTATTTTTATTATTATTACTACGTCATTATTATTACTACGTCATTATTATTACTACGTCATTATTATTACTACGTTATTATTATTATTACGAATTATTATTACTTTATTATTATTGTTATAATTATTATTCTGAATTCTCTGAATTCTCTGAATTATATCTAGATGGTACCATCCGAATATGGAGTAAACAGGACATGGATCAGCATCTTTACTCAAGCATTTGATTTTCGATCTCGTAGTTTCGTTACTCCATCAGCTTTAGAAGCTGGTAAATATGTTAATGGAGATGATGATGTTAGAAGGGAAAGATCAAATATTCTATCCAATCAATATGGTGATAATCCTTTAGTAGTGAAAAGCATAAGTAAAATTTATAATAATGGAAAAGTTGCTGTTAAGGATATTGCTTTTGCCGTAGAATCGGGTACAATTTTTGGTCTTTTGGGTCCTAATGGTGCAGGTATTCTATTCTTAAAATAATTTATTATATATATGCTAAATCTTTATTTTTATTTAAATTTACATAAAATTTGTTTTTTTTTTAAATAGGAAAGACAACACTTTTAAACGTTTTAACAGGTTTATATAAACCAACAGAAGGTGATGCAATATTAAACGGTTTAAGCATTTCCGCTTCAATAAATGATATTTATCGAAACATTGGTGTTTATCCACAACGTGATATTCTTTGGGATAACCTCACAGGTATTTATTATTTATAAAATTTATAAAATTTATAAAATTTAAATTTTTTAAAAATTTAAGTTTTAAAATAAAAATATTAATTTTTTAATTATTTTTAAAAAGTTGAAGAACATCTTTTATTCTATGCTCGTATCCGTGGTATTCCACCATCTAAAGAACAAGAAGCAGTTCATTCATCATTGAAGAGAGCTCAACTAGTCTCCTTAAAAACCAAATTAACCGAAAATTTAGATAATAAAAACAAAAGACGACTTTCTATTGCTATTGCATTAGTAGGAGAACCTTCTCTGGTATTTTTAGATGAACCTACTACAGGTTTAGATCCAGAAGCTAGAAGATCAATTTGGAAAATTATTGCCAATACTAATAAAATTCCTTTAAGAAAAGATTCTAATGATGAATTATTTAATAAGTTAATTAAGAAGAATAGTACTATAATATTGGCTACTCATAGTATGGAAGAAGCCGAAGTTTTATGTAATAAGATTGGTATTATGTCAAGAGGTACTTTAAGATGTATGGGTGCTCCTTCTAGATTAAAACAACTTTATGGCCGTGGTTTTAGATTGAATTTTAATTGTAAGATTGAAAATTTGGAGAAGGCTACTGTGTAAGTAATACCTATTATAATAGTTGCTAATATTTAATTGTTATTAAAATACGTTTATTATTTAATTGTTATTAATATACGTTTATTATTTAATTGTTATTAATATACGTTTTATTATTCTTTTTTCATTAGATATATAGAAACATTATTGCCGTTAAGTGCAAAAAAATTAGACTCATTTACTACAAGTGCTTCATATGAATTTGAAGCAAGACCCGGATTTCTTTCTTTAGTATTTAAAGAAATTGAAAGAGATAAAGCAGAAAATGGGATTGATAATTGGGGATTAAGTCAAACAAGGTAATTTAATTAATTAATTACAGTACACAAAATTAAAATATATTGTTGATTAAAATGTTAAATAATAATTCATTATTCTATTTTTTTTACAGTTTAGAGGAAGTGTTTTTAAGAGTTATTGGCGAAATTGATACGGAAATTAACAATTAATTTTAAAATTTTAGATGTATAAACATTATTAATAATTTGGTTTGTTTATCAATAAAATTTACTTTTTTTAATAAATAATCATTATAATTTAGATAAGTTTTATTAGCATTCAAAAAATATCAAGGTGTATTTTAAATAGACAAAAAAAATGAATAAGAAAAAATACTGATTAGAAAATAATATATTTTTAAAAGTATAGAAAAATTGAATTTTAACAAAAAATATAAACCCCTATTATGTTGACTGTCAATGCAAATTAATGATTCAATAGATAGAATATTCAAACTTCAATAATATAAAAATATATATGATTTTATATTTTCTTTTCTTTAGGCTTAATCTTTTTTTAATCAAAGCATTAAATAGGTTATTTCAATAACATTTTAGGTAGTATAAATTTATTTTTCAAATGTTCAGGCTGTTTTCCAAAGTTGTTGCGTTACAACACTGCCCTGATGACATTTTGCCAGTAGCAAAACAACATTTGACACATCTAAATGTACTGTAAAATGAAATCATGTGACAAAAATAGTAATGTATCACAAATGCCAAAAGTACTTGAAGTGCTGATAGAAATACTAACTCGGCCAGCATAGCAGGAACTCGTATCCGATAGATTCCGAAATCATTGTTACACAAACTATTTATATGGACAATTACAAATTTGATATGTCGTTGTGGTTTAAAACCCGGCAATTTTAAATTGCGTCATTCGACGTCCCCAGATAATTGCTATCTCGGGGTTTAAAAAAAAACAAACCCCCCGGCAAATTCATTATCTGTTACCCCATAATAAGTTAAACCAAAGGTATCCATGTTTATTCATAAAATTTCTTCGTTTAGAGTGTTTCTAGTGGAAATCTTTTCTAATCGTTTTCAATCGCTTTCCCCACGGAGTTTTCATAAGTATAAAGGTAAACGTTTGGTAATTTGTAGAGTTTATTGAATTTCTCCTACGTTTAAATTATTAAACGAATCTTAGATTTATAAAATGCTAAATCGTGAGTGTTATACTAATTTAAGATTTTATGCATTTATTAAATAGGCCAAGCGATATAAAGCTTTTAACAAGGTTTATTTACTTGAACCAAGAACATATATATGTATTATTTATTAAACAGATAAGAAAACTCTTGTTATAGCTCAAAATCAATGTATTTCTGAATTTATGGGTCTTGATATTCCTGAACCACTTGGTCCTATTTGGATCAGTGAGTATTTTTTGTTAATTATTTTTTAAAGGTCGTTATGTCTGCTATCATTAACTATAAATTTTATTAATTAATAATAGTCGGAGATGTGTTCCTTCGTAAATACTATACAGTTTATGATCTTGGCAAGGATAGGTATTTATTTTTCAGTATTATATCCCTTTTACATCAATTTAGTACAAAAGAGCACTTAATTTAGTACAAAATGACGTTCAATTTAGTTAGTACAAAAGGACATTCAATATGAGTTTGATTAAATCGTGATAACTTAAAATCTAGCAACAATTTAAATAATTTTAGCATCATTTTAGTTTCTTAATAAGATGAATAAAATGGTGTTAAAATTATTTAAATTGTTACTAGATTTTAAGTTATCACAGTTTAATCGAACGTCCTTTTGTACTAAATTAAATGCTTTTGTACTCAATTGATGTCAAAAGGGATATTTCCTGATGCATTTCCTGACGTATTATAATCTGATTAACGTTTTTTATGCTTGCGTTTAGGTTGGTTCGCTAGATCAAGATAGATTAAATCTTAGGACTTTGGTGCCCCAAATTTATTATTAGTTTTTTCAAAATATATTTTGTGTAAATTAAGGGTTGAGCTTTATTGTATTGATAGTTTATTTTAACTGCTAATAAATACTGCATATGGTTGACAAAATATACTCTAAAGTGAGAAATAATAATAAGTTTTTCTGAAATATGGGATGTAAAAAATCTAGATCTACCAGTTTTTACAGAGGAGTTGGTGTTATTTTGTGAACAGACTGCATATAGTTTATCTTTAATATAGTAAATATGGTGATGCGGTCTAATTGATAGTATAGTCCAAGGATTGTAACATATGACAATATGTTTTTAGTAAAATATAATAGTTAAACGATGTATTAGAATTACTTTGGATTTAAAAAAAGCTTCGCTTTTGTTAATAATAAATTTATTTCGCTTCATTTCGCGAATCGAAAAATTTTAATTGATTTGATTGGTTAATAGTCACGCATGGATCTACATAAATTAGCTAATCGCATATAATTACAATTAAAACGTGGGTACCTGACCTCGGAATATTTCGGAACCCGGCCAGATTTATGACACTGCCCGAATTATACAATATATCCCGCGCGAGATTTTTTTGAATCCCGCCCTTAACTAAAGTCCAGCTTTAAGCAACCCCCTAAAGCTTACAACTATGCAAATAGGATAACTTTTAGCGTCGTACGATTTTGGAAGCAATTCTCTTAATATTAAGGGCTAAATTTTGAGTTATCGGCACTTTTTTAAAAAATGTGATTTTCACGTTACTCCTGATCTGGAGATCTTATGAATATGAATATTTATCAAAAAAAAAATTGATTTTGAAGGTTCGAAGATTCGAACCCTCAATTAAATGTTTTTTTTTTTTTTTTTATAGCTCAAACAGTTCAAGGTTATAGCAGCTAGGCCAGACGCCCATAAGCTGCAATAGTAAATTTTTGTTTATAATTTTAAAATATAATTGTAATTAATTTTTTAACGAAGATATCTTGGCAACCAACTATCTAAAATCGATAAAAAAAATTTCACCGATTTTAGATAGATGGTTGTCGAAATATTTTTGCTCAAAGTCTAGAAAAAACTTGCATAACTATTAAAAAGCTACAGAAAAGTTTTTTCCGAAGATATCTCGACAACATATATAAAATCGATGAAATTTTTTTATTTTAATTATACAGATATATAGAATCCGAATAAAAAAATCTTCATCGATTTTAGATATGTGGTTGTCGAAATATCTTCGCTCAAAGTTTAGATAACTATCAAAACAAAAGCTGCAGCAAAGATTTTTCCAAACTTTGAACGAAGATATATCGACAACCACCTATCTAAAATCGATGAATTTTTTTTAATTCGAATTCTATGTGCATGTATAATTAAATTAAAAATCTTTTTTTATTGATTTTAGATAGGTGGTTGTCAAAACAAAAGCTGCGGCAAAGTTTTTTCCATATATCCTTCTTTTTCAGAGTTGTGCTTATTGGTTGAAAATTTTCATTGATTGGTAATTGCTCAAATGTTTCACTTTTGAATCTTAAACCTCGTTACAAGCATTCATATTCAATTTTTTGTTTATTTGTCACTGTAGGATTATATATGAAAATTTGTGAAGTCTGAGAAAGAAAAAACAGAAACTAAAAGCTTTGATGTTCTGTTTTTTTGTCAGTTTATAGTAAAGTCTGAAAACGACGAAGCAGAACTTGGAATTGTTGTAGATAGTACTTTATCCTTTTATTGATTCATCTTTTTTTCTTTATTTCGATCTTGTAAAAATATATAATAATCGTTAAACAGTAAAATAAAGGTGTTTACTCAAGCATCAATTGCAACCAATATTTTAATTTATCATAATATTTGAATATTAACACAATCATGAATTAATTGCATAGTATATTGTTACTCATATGCTGCTTTTTGTGTAAACTGTTCTTCACCTGATAAAACTTCTAGAACAACATGAGGATAACACCATAAATACAGTATCAACTTTTGAACTATTTTCATCTATTTTCTTAGACAATCCTAGATCCGAAACATAAAAAGTACCTTTATGATAAAAAGTTACATGAATATACTCCGCATCATGGATCCGATCTAGATCATAAGATATATTGCTGAGTTGTTTTAATTTAAATTCTTGTACTGAAATACCATAAAGTATTCGTTGGTTTTGAATTACAAGTTAAACCATATATCTTAAGTCCAATGGTATATAATATACACTGCATATGATTTTTAAACTTAGGGATTATATAAAATCGTTAGTTCAATAAAATATTATTACATAGTCTTATAGAATACAATTTTAACCTACCTCGCTTAAAAAATCAAGAGAATTTTGATTTTTATTTGTCTTTGGGGCAGAGAAGGTCTTGAGTGCAACGATGCTGGATGGTTCACGCCCTCTTACATAATGCCATCAATTTTTCGTATTCCATCCAACTACTGTAGGTTACTCTATATATAGAACCAAATCATCCTTTGCCGATTTCATTAATATCAAATAATCTGTCAAATTGAATCCACTCAATCACACCCTCATATGAAGTGGCTCTAAGCTGAAATGCTTTCATGCAATTATCAATATTCTTATTTTTACTTGTCCACTGTGTTGCTATGTAGGGATCTTAATGCGAATGAAATGATTAAGTAATATGTTCTTGATTTGTGAACTTATTTTTAACACCAATGATTAATAAATATTTTTTATACTCACGAGCTGAATGAAATGATTTGAAGAGTATTATGTAATGGTAAATAATAAGATATTCTCAATTTTTAAAATAATAAAATTAACAAATTAA